TCCTTCCTTCCTTCCTTTCTTTCTTTTTCTTTCTTTCTTTCTTTCTTTCCTTTCTCTCCTTTTTCTTTCTTTCTCTCTCTCTCTCCCTTCCTTTCCTTTCTTTCTTTCTTTCTTTCTTTCTTTCTTTCTTTCTTTCTTTCTTTCTTTCTTTCTTTCTTTCTTTCTTTCTTTCTTTCTTTCTTTCTTTCTTTCTTTCTTTCTTTCTTTCTTTCTTTCTTTCTTTCTTTCTTTCTTTCTTTCTTTCTTTCTTTCTTTCTTTCTTTCTTTCTTTCTTTCTTTCTTTCTTTCTTTCTTTCTTTCTTTCTTTCTTTCTTTCTTTCCTTTCTCTCCTTTTTCTTTCTTTCTCTCTCTCTCTCTCTCTTCTTTTTCTCCAACTAAAAACCTTGGTTGAAGATACCCTCTGAAACAGAAATTTAACTTCTAGAATGTGCCCTAAGGAAATAACTGATCAAGTGGAGAGCGAGGTATGTGTGAGAAGCTTCATTGCAGAGTTGTTCATAACAATAAAAACTAATAGCAACTGAAATGCCCACTGATGTGAGACTGGTCACTTAGTCACTCACCAAATACTTACCGAGCACTCACCATGGGCCAGGCACTGTGCTGGGAGCCGAGAGTACACCAGTCAACGCACAAAGCCTCTGCTCGCATGGAACTTACCATCTGCGACGGACAATGCTCACATAAACACCCTCTGATGTAATTTCTGATCAGGATAATGAGAATAGCTAGGTGAAGCCCCAGACAGAGCACAAAGGGCCTGGGAGGGGAGCAGGTCTGGACTGTTTCCAAGTCAGAAAGAAAAGTCCCCATGGCTGAAGGAGTGATGAGATGAGGCTGGAGCAGTGGCATCTGGGGCTGGTGTAGGCGAGTGGGGCTTAGTGAGAACGAATGCAGGACAGTTAGTGGTGCCACAGGGATTGGGTGGGTCAGTAGATATGGACTTGAAAGAAGTGGGCTAGCCCGGCTGGCGTGGCTCAGTGGTTGAGCGTCGACCTATGAACTAGGAGGTCACTGTCCGATTCCTGGTCAGGGCACATGCCCGGGTTGTGGGCTTGATCCCCTGTGGGGAGCGTGCAGGAGGCAGCCGATCAATGATTCTTTCTCATCATTGATGTTTCTATCTCGCTCTCCTCTCCCTTCCTCTCTGAAATCCACAAAAATATATTTTAAAAAAGAAAAAGAAAAAGTGGGCTAGGCAAAAGCACTTAGAATGCGGTCACTTCAGTGCACACCTCGCTAGCCTGGCATCTCGGCGGCCTCCACTTCCTGGGCCCACCGGCTCCCATTCTCCCACCCTGGAACCACCAACCGTCTGCCCACAGCCAGGGGGGCCTACGCCTGTCACCTTCGTGCAGGCCCCCGCACCTCCCTTCATTGTGCCCCGTCTAGTTTTGAATTACACACACGTGCAGGGGGTGCCTGTGGGTTTAGTAGTTTCTCTTTCCTTTCACATGAGTAGATCTGTGAGGGCAAGAACGGCCACATTCTCAGCTGTCACTGCCCTTCCTGTGGCTGGCACTCAAAGGTATTCAATAAATACTCGCCGATGAGTAAACAATTGAAGGTACCTTTCAAGTCGCTGCTCCATTCATTCCAGCTCCTGAAGGAACGGGAACCCAGGGAGCGGGGCTCTATCTGTACTGAACGAGGGCCCGCGTGTCCCTGGCCTGGGTAGATGCCCTGCTTCTTGGGACTCACCCGTAAAAATGACTGCTTCTCTCCACAAGCTTTGCACGTCCATTTGAGACTCTTTTTCATCTACAATGAAATTTCAGAAACATATATAGCTTAGGTAATTATTCAAAACAGGTGGAATGGTTCCAAAAACTAATTTTAAAAGATCAATGAGAAAAAATCAAAAACAAACCAACACACATATGAAAACTTAGAATATTATCGAGGTGAGGAAAGAATAGACTATTTAGTAAGTGCTGCCGGGAAAACCAGCTATCCATGTCAAACAACATCAACTTACATCTCTACCAAGTGTGGCTCTCAAAAACAATTCCATAACATTTAATTTTGATTTTAAAAAAATGTTTATTAACTGATCTGAGAGAGAGAGAGAAAGAGAGATCAATTTGTTGTTCCACTTATTTATGCATTTACCCGAAATCTTGGCGTATCGGGATGGCATTCTAACCAACTGAGCTAGCCAGCCAGGGCCTTAATTTTGATTCTTTTGTTTTGTTAAACCTCACCTGAAGATATTTTTCCCACTGATTTTTGGAGAGTGGAAGGGAGGAAGAGGAGAGAGAGAAACATCAATGTGAGAGACACACCAACTGGCTGCCTCTCACACAGCCCTGACCAGGGCTGGGGATCAAGCCTGCAACTGAGGTACATGCCCTTTACTGAAATCGAACCTGGGACCCTTCAGTCAGTGGGCCGATGCTCTATCCACTGAGCCAAACCGGCTAGGGCTTAATTTTGATTCTTGATAAACCTGACTAGATGGTTTCTCTTAACATGAAAAATACCTTATACCAGCTCTGAAACTGTACAATAACTACCGCCATCCCCGCAAAAGTCTAGAACAAGCCAGGGATCCCCACTATTGTTTACCAATTTTCCCTGGATGTTCAATCAGTGGGATTTTAAAAGAGAAGGTAATAAAAGGTATGAAAATTGGAAAGAAGAAAACTATCATTATTTATAGATGATATAATCAGTTGTTGTTTTTTAACCTAAAAACCCAAGAGAATCAAATGAAAAACTACCAAAACCAGTAAGACAATTTATTTATTTATTTATTTTTAAAAATATACTTTATTGATTTTTTACAGAGAGGAAGGGAGAGGGATAGAGAGTTAGAAACATCAATGAGAGAGAAATATCCATCAGCTGCCTCCTGCACACCCCCCACTGGAGATGTGCCCGCAACCAAGGCACATGCCCTTGACCGGAATCAAACCCGGGACCCTTCAGTCCGCAGGCCAACGCTCTATCCACTGAGCCAAACCGGTCAGGGCCAGTAAGACAATTTAATATAGTGGCTGGGTACAAAATTAATATATCTTTAAAAATTAATCCAGCCTTTATATAAGCAAACATCTAGTTAGAAAAAGAGTCTACTTATGATAGTAACAAAGAAAATATTATCAATGGGCACAAAGTTGCTTGAAGAAATAGAATGAAACAGCATGTCTAGGTCGGCTCATTCAAGTTGATGATTAATGTGATCCTAATACAAAAACCACCAAGGTTTGAGGGAAGTACCCCGCAAAATTCTAAGGTGGACTACAAATTCAAGTGGGTATATTCTATGATTTGGCGATTCCACTGTCAGCATCTACTTGAAATACCATAAAAATACTGATTTTGTATAGGTACATATGCAAGTAAGAAACTCCTTTAAAAAAAAATAAAAGGTCTGGAAGGATACAGTAATTAGCTCTGGGCGGCTGGAGAGCTAGTGGCTAGGTCTGGGGGGCTTGAGAGAGGCAGCGTGGTGTAACGGGGACATTGCAACTGACAGCCGGGGCTCTGCCATTTGTTAGATAGAGACCACGGTACCTCGTTCAGCGGCTGTTGAAGTTGTGTGTATGTGAAATTGCCGGGTACACAGCAGACTTGCAATTCAACTGTTAACCCTCTTTCTCCTTTGGTTTCAAATCACTTTTCGGAGTTGAACATGACCATGAGAGCATGTGCTACAGTATATGTGAAAAAACTTTTAATGGAAATGATTCCCATTTATTTTCAACGAATGGAAAACAGTTTCTGAGCTCCTAAAGTTTGATGCTATCCTTTTTCAGAGAAGGGTGGATTAGCAGAGAACTATGCAGAGGAGGGACTCGCAGAAGCAGACATGCGACAGCAGTCAGGTGACTTCGAGCAGGAGAGAGAATACATCCAGTTAAGAAGTCAGGGTGGTGCCCTGGCCGGGAGCTCAGATGGTCAGAGCGTCAGCTGGACAAGCCAAGGTTGCAGGTTCCCTCCTCAGTCAGGACATATACAAAAGCCACCCAATGAATGCAGAAATAAGTGGAACAACACATCGATGTTTCTCTCTCTCCCAAACCCCCTTCCTCTCTCTAAATAAAATCGATTAAAAAAAAATACAAAGTGGGGCAAAGATAGGTTTACCGTTGTGAGTATAATGTATTCTTACATTAGTTATTAATTATTGAATTATTTGCTGTATGAACTGTAAACCTACTTTTGCCCCTCCCTGTAGGCTGGGACGGCCTCCACCCTCGCTCTGAGAGTCGGGGAAACAGGAGGTTACAGAGACGGCCATGGTCTGCGTGAGATGCCGGCGTGCGGGGGGCCATGGTCCCGTGTGAGATGCCGGCGTGCGGGGGCCATGGTCCCGTGTAAGAACCCGGCGTGCGGGGGCCATGGTCCCGTGTAAGAACCCGGCGTGCGGGGGGGCCATGGTCCTGAGTAAGAACCCGGCGTGCGGGGGGCCATGGTCCTGGTAAGAACCCGGCGTGCGGGGGCCATGGTCCCGTGTAAGAACCCGGCGTGCGGGGGGGCCATGGTCCTGAGTAAGAACCCGGCGTGCGGGGGCCATGGTCCCGTGTAAGAACCCGGCGTGCGGGGGGGCCATGGTCCTGAGTAAGAACCCGGCGTGCGGGGGCCATGGTCCCGTGTAAGAACCCGGCGTGCGGGGGGGCCATGGTCCTGAGTAAGAACCCGGCGTGCGGGGGCCATGGTCCCGTGTAAGAACCCGGCGTGCGGGGGGGCCATGGTCCTGAGTAAGAACCCGGCGTGCGGGGGGCCATGGTCCTGGTAAGAACCCGGCGTGCGGGGGCCATGGTCCCGTGTAAGAACCCGGCGTGCGGGGGGGCCATGGTCCTGAGTAAGAACCCGGCGTGCGGGGGCCATGGTCCCGTGTAAGAACCCGGCGTGCGGGGGGGCCATGGTCCTGAGTAAGAACCCGGCGTGCGGGGGCCATGGTCCCGTGTAAGAACCCGGCGTGCGGGGGGGCCATGGTCCTGAGTAAGAACCCGGCGTGCGGGGGCCATGGTCCCGTGTAAGAACCCGGCGTGCGGGGGGGCCATGGTCCTGAGTAAGAACCCGGCGTGCGGGGGGCCATGGTCCTGGTAAGAACCCGGCGTGCGGGGGCCATGGTCCCGTGTAAGAACCCGGCGTGCGGGGGGGCCATGGTCCTGAGTAAGAACCCGGCGTGCGGGGGCCATGGTCCCGTGTAAGAACCCGGCGTGCGGGGGGGCCATGGTCCTGAGTAAGAACCCGGCGTGCGGGGGCCATGGTCCCGTGTAAGAACCCGGCGTGCGGGGGGGCCATGGTCCTGAGTAAGAACCCGGCGTGCGGGGGCCATGGTCCCGTGTAAGAACCCGGCGTGCGGGGGGGCCATGGTCCTGAGTAAGAACCCGGCGTGCGGGGGGCCATGGTCCTGGTAAGAACCCGGCGTGCGGGGGCCATGGTCCCGTGTAAGAACCCGGCGTGCGGGGGGGCCATGGTCCTGAGTAAGAACCCGGCGTGCGGGGGCCATGGTCCCGTGTAAGAACCCGGCGTGCGGGGGGGCCATGGTCCTGAGTAAGAACCCGGCGTGCGGGGGCCATGGTCCCGTGTAAGAACCCGGCGTGCGGGGGGGCCATGGTCCTGAGTAAGAACCCGGCGTGCGGGGGCCATGGTCCCGTGTAAGAACCCGGCGTGCGGGGGGGCCATGGTCCTGAGTAAGAACCCGGCGTGCGGGGGGCCATGGTCCTGGTAAGAACCCGGCGTGCGGGGGCCATGGTCCCGTG